TGAGTGTCTCGTATTTGCTGATGATTCATCAGATAAAATCATATCAACATGAGCAAAGAAAACAAACTAAAAATTTTTGAATTTGTTAAAGTATTGGTCAAATTGAATTGAAGTTGAAGTAATGACGTCGAAGACGTTCGAATGTTGCACGATAGAGTTTACCGGTAAGTGTGTATATATAGAAAGATGTTGAATGGGTAAAATACACGAGAAGAACAATTAAAGCATATATTAAATTTTCGATTGCCACTCGATATTGACTTTTAGATAAATTAGCCGTTAGACTAGCGTACGAACGATAAATTCCAAATGGTAAATCCAAAACGAAAACAAATGATACCTAAAAAATTCATTTAACATTAGTCTTATTAGAAATTTTGTAAAATATATATAAACTAACCTGAATGAATAACATGTGAGTAAGGTTACGATCGTTTCTTCGTGTTAATACTATATTATTTTTTGTTGTAGCTATTTGGTGAATTAAATTTGTTATTGGACGAACAATTCTCAATCGAGCATTTCGAATAGTCAATGTACCAAAGATACTTATGATAATGCTTGGTAAAATGATATCTACTCCTAAATATACCCAATCATTAATGACTCGACAAGGAAGATTTCGACCGTAGCAAGCGACGGGAACATTGGGAACTTTTGCTTCCACACAATAGAATACTTCAATAAACACAAATGCAAAGAAAATAAAAATACCCATTAGAAAACGTTCTGCTAACTGAGCTGTGCTCAATTGACGGTAAATAACTGAATGATGACTACACAAGAATCGATCAATATTTGCTCCAACAAGAGCCCAAATAGCGACTGCCCAACTAATATTGAGCAAATATAGACGAATTTTACAAGGAGCTTGATTTTCATTTGGCCAATTTATATTATACCTAAAATATCGTCATAAACGGTTTTAAATCGAAAATGTTTTCTTTATACTTACCCTTGGAGAGTTCGTGTTAGTAATCCTGACCAAATGAATACAATAGCTGATATCGAAGACCAGCAAAGATAGATTGTACATGGAATCTTTTTTAGAGAACGTTCTCTTAAAACACAAATGTTGAGTATATTACTAAATGTACCAAAGATAATCATAAATGTAGGTCCGTAACGATTAATTTGCATAGTGGCGTAGTTGATAGAGTTTACTAAATCAGTGTTATTTGACATTTGTTTTTCTTTTTCAATGTGTGAAGATCGATCGATTAAATAGAAAATTGTTGTAAAATAATAGTAAACACATTTAATGGATGATAGAAGACTGTTAGACTTAAGTACTTTTCTTAATCGTTCATGAAGATAATTGCTATAAGTTGTTTTGTCAGTGCATGAGAGATGAGATTATTTGTCACGGATGCTTTTTTTTCTGTCTATCGTTAAGAATAAGTGAAAGAACAATCGATTGTCGATACGCTAATCAAGTTTTTACTCATTAAATATATCATTAAAGTACAAAAAAGATGCAGCTCTAAACACGTCATAGTGTGATAAAATTAGAAAACTAATGATAAAGGACATATCAGTCATCAGAAGAAAATTAGTATCGCATGTTATAGAGAAGATTAAGACAAAGTCCATCATTAGGAGTAAAATTAATTGAAGAAAAAAACAATCTTAGTCATCAGCTAACGAATATTTAAACAAAGAAAAATTTTGAGAAAATTTTCAGTATCAGAGGGAGGATGTGAGCGTATGTGTAGACGAAAAGGAAATAGATCCAATCACACTCGCACCATAAGCATGTCCGTGTATTTCTTCATTATCCCCAATTTTTCAAAAAAAATCCTCGACCATATCACGTTACATTTGCATGAAAATGAGAACAATTATTTATCAAAACAATATGGATTAAAATACCATCTGTATGATAGAAATAAGAAAAAGAATGAAACACATTCAAAATAATATTTCATTTTAATAGAAGCTACGACTAAAACTATGATTCCTTACTTCGTTCTCATTTTTCTTAGGTAAATCATATTTTTCATTGTTCTATTATTTATTAGTTCTTTTTTCTATTTTAGTATTATAGGTTCGATTTTTGTTTTGTTTCACAAATTGAGCTTTTCATTTCTCTTATTGATAGTTCAAGTGCAATCTCAAATATGTAATCGAATTGCACAATATGATCGATGTTCAACAAATAGTGCCTGCGGTTGCTTTTCTAAGACAAATGCTACTGAAAATGGCATTTGTGCTTTTCTTTGGGCGACTTGTTCTACACTTGAGGCATGTGACGTTTCAAACAATAAATGTCATCAGCCTAACACAGTCTGTGTTCGACATCCTCGATGTCATGATCAACCTGTTTGTTATTCATTATCAATGACTAGTCACCATATCTGTCCACCACCTATGCAACCAAGTGAGAGATATTTCTATGAAATACTAACCTTCGTCAAAGTGAACTTTTAGATTTTACACGAAGTTTATCAAAAAGTAGTCGTTTACGAAATGATTATACTAGTTTTATTCAGCAAAATGAAATAGAATTATTATTAAGATAATCTGAGAATTTTGATTAGAGAGTGATAATCTAAATCTGAATCGTTTGCCTCGATTTAGTTTGAAAGTTTTACAAAGTTGGTGAGTTCGACTCTATTTAGGATTTTATTAGTTTAGTTTGAAAAGAATACGAATTGCTTTCATATTTCTTATCATATGTTATTCCTTTATTTGATGGTTAGTTTGTGGTTTTTGTTATGGTGCCTCATCTAACTGCTGTAACACATGCCAAGATGTTATAGATGCTTATCAAGATAACAACTGGGCTTACGATCCAGCAGACTTTGCTCAATGTAGTCCATGACCGAGAAACAGGGTTTCTGCAGTTTTACGACTCGTCCTTATGAAATGGTGATAATGAAAAAAAGATTTATCGGGAATACTTTTTCTTTTCATTTTGTATTATTTTAATCCTGTTACGAGTGAAATTTTCTTATGTCTTTTGCTTCTATTTGTCTTTTTAATCGTAATCGAGAAACAGAGTACTACATATAACTTTATTCATTTTCATTTTATTTAATTATTCTTTTATTCTTATTTTTGGTTATATTATTTGCTTTTGTTTGTTCATGTGTTTTTTGCAGTTTTTTTTGTGAATTTTAACAAACGTTCCTTCAGAATGAATGGAAAAAGGAAGACAGGAAAAAGATCGAAGAGAAAATATTTAAGTTAAAATTTCTCAATAAGAAGCAATGCTGATAAATTTGTCAAGAATCTTCTTTAATAAACAAAAAATAAGGGTGGATGCGGGTGTGAGATAGATACAGTATACACACTCATATCCACCCACATCCACACTCACACCTACACCCACACCCTCAAGATCATTATCAAGAATTAAGCCATCTGATGATGAACTATAACAAGCTCGAAACCGGTCGTAGTATCCACCCTCACACCCATCCACACCCCTTCTGCAGAAGTGCGCATTCTATTATAGAATAGAAAATGTCTATGAGAATTCAATTGAGTTTGTTCACATTGATTAGTGTTGCAATATTAACGAATCCATACTCGAATAACACTCTTTTGCTCTTGAACCCGTTCGATTACTGCCGTACTCGGCAAATACGAACGTAATGTCTCAATTGTTGCGTCGTGTTTTTCTATGGACTTCTTTTCATGATCATCATTAAAACATTAAATTTTAAGTGTTCGAAGGTAGTTTGCATTTTGTATAATTGGTAATAGATATTCTATTTTACGTATGTTAATCGAAAGTATTTCGCAACGGTTTAAAAGTACAGATCGACTTAATTTGAGACATGATTGTTCATGTAATTCATACACTAAAGGTTCGATATTGAGTCGACGAATATTTGTCTTATTTAAGAACAACAATTCTGGATATAGACTAAGCGAATCAAGATGAATTGCATGATTATTAAGTAGAGTTTCTATAAATGAACGGGAAATTCCATAATCACTGGCGTCAATGAATTCAATGAATTCTAATTTGTTTAATTGTCGAACAATCGACCAAAACTTATCAGTATTGCTTCTGATGATTTTGAGTTGACGAATATTGAAAAATCGTATTGGTGGGCACATTTCAGAAGACTGTGGTGATGATCTATCATTAAATCTTAATGTTTCAACAGAATCATATGACCAATAGTCATTAGGATTTGGGCAAGTTGATTTTATCAAGCTTCGGCTTGAATTAAACTCGTAATCAGAAAAAACATATGGAATCGTATAACAATAAATGTGGCTCGTATCTGGGAAACAGCTCGAATAGAAACGAACATACCATTTACGTTCAATTAACCAAAATTGATTCGTAAATGATTCAATTAATTGTTTCATTTTCTGATCATAATCAGATGGAGGACAATTGAAACTCATTGTAAACGCAAATGTCTCCAATTTTGGTAGATGTTCTTTAATTATTTCTTCCCATTGATTCCCATAAATACAGTAGCTTGATATTCTGATTTTCAAATGACATAGATTAGGCGCATTGTATAAAATGTTGTCTAACATAGCACTACCTCCGTAAACAACAAATTCACCATGAGTCAGTGATAACATCACAGATTGTGGTAAAAAAAACATTCCATCATCCATACGTAGTGACAAAAATTCCAAATCAGGAGTACACTTTAAAAATGTATTTATATGCTCACAACGATATCCGTAAATACCCTGGAGAGTTAAATATTTCAGAGTTTTCGAATGAGTAATCATATCTCTTAAATTTACTAATCTACAACCGAAGGCCATATCTAAATGAGCACATGTCAGTTTAGGTAACTTCCAGATCTCGTTGAAAATGCTATAATGATCGGAACTAATAGAACATATAATCAATTTGATATTTGTGAGATTGATGAGATGAGATGACGCATTGTTTAAGCTTCGCCAAATTTGATCGGATTGGAGTTCACATAGTGTAAGAGAATTCAAAGATATGAATTTATCAAATGTAAAACCATATTGAAGAAAAAGTTTCGTTTCATAGGGTGTTTCATCATCATCGGATAGACATAATTTTTTCATAGCACTAGCATTAGATTGTATAAATTGTTCACACATGAATTTAAACGCAGTCAATGATATAGATCGAAAATCAAAACCATATCTCTTCATATGCTCGATTAATATTCCACTAAATCGATAGTTCAACTCTCCGAATGCACGTAGAGCATCTTTGATTTTCAAAAATGAACATACAATTAACCAAATTTCATTCGGTAAAGATTCCAGAGGCATTCTTTGTATTCAATTATGCAAATCTTACTTTGTAACAAACTAAAAAAGACACTATCGTTTCTTTCTTTGTTACAAATATGTCTATGTGGTATATTCCGTTTTCGCCAAAAGAATTTTTCGTCCAATCGATTTTCGTCGAAA